CAAGGGAACCATATGCACTGGGAACAACCCCGAAAATCCTTGATGTTTAAGACACCACTGGTAAAGGAGTTGTTCAGAACCACCAAAGAAGCACATTTTGACATGTGTAATGTAGGGGCCCTCAAGTGCCCAGAAACAAGTCGTCACATCCAGAAGAGCATGGCAGTCCGGACAACATCAACCGAGATGTTCCTAGCCCTCCACGGTCGCACATGTCGACGCGACCATGAGCACCGAGCCATTGCAGGGACTGTCCATGTCAAAGGTGATCGCATGTCATGCAGTGCATACACAGAACGATACACACGCAAGTTCTCGAGATACGTAGCTAAGAACCTCATCAAGATCAAACAACACATGTGTGTTCCAGTTTTGGTCAGTCATGATGACAGTCGACCTGATCGGTCCGATGCACCATGCAAGAGACTTCGCATCAATTCTCCATCTTCGAGCAATCCGAAGAGTCGAATGCCACCAACACCGTTGGAAGTGCTCAGCGGCCATCTAAAGAGACGCCGCATTGACGGAAAGACCACCGAAGGAGAGCTTGCACAGTCCCGACAAACAGAATTGGAACGATTCATCACAGTGATCAAACCCCGAATTCCAAGAGTAGGCAAAACAGAAATCAAAGACCCTGACTTGATAAATCAATTTCAGAAGATATTCCCAGAAAAGATCATCCGTAGAATCATGGTATGCAAGGGGTCGGATCGAACATTAGCCCCACCCAAAGACATTGTGAAGAACGAAGCACCATATCGCATTGCAGCAATTGTCAGCCGTACCGATGAATCCGTTCGTGTTGAGACCGACTGGGAATTTTGGCAAGAGCTGTCCAATCGTCAAGTGGTCAGACCGTCTCACCCCGCCAGGATCAATATAACCTTGTTTGCCAGCAATAGGGAGCCCGGCAAAGAAGGAGACCAGACTGAGTCCACAAGAGCCGAGCGCACAGTGACTGGTGAGGACCTGCCAAAGCCTCAACATGAAGTCGAAGACAAGACGTCAGGACCAACCCCATCCAGAGTGTCAGCTAACACACCAAGCCAGAAGATAGACCTACAGAGTGCAACCCATGGGAGCCGATTCATGTGTTTGTCCCCAGAAGAAAAGACTTTCCTGATAAAGCTCCATCAAAATTTAGGACACCCAAGTCATGCACGACTAAGTCAGGTACTCCGAGAACAGGGCCACAAGCCATCCTCTTAAGTCAAGGGATCCTCGATATGAAGTGTTCGACATGTCAAAATGAACAAAGGCCCAAAATTCAAAGACCGGCAACCATCAAGGACGATCTTGACTTCAATGACAAGGTAGGAATTGACGGTATCAAATACACAGCTGCCAGCGGGACCCCATATCATTTCTATCACATGATTGATTATGGAACTAATTATCATGTGGCATGTTCATCACCAGGTCAGAGCAGTCAGGACGCCATCGAAAAGGTGGTGACCGGTTGGTTCCAGTGGGCCGGCGCCCCATTGGAGCTACATACCGATGCCGGCACAGAGTTCACCTCTCGAGAGTTTGCCACCATGTTGACTCAATTCAACATCAAAGCAGTCGTCGCAGCACCTGGAGCACACTGGCAGATTGGCAAGGTTGAACGACACGGAGAAATCCTGCAGACCATGCTTCGTAAGTATGAGCACGACTTTCCGATCAAATCATATCAGGACCTCCAAACAGCTTTAGCCCACTGTACTTCAGCAAAGAATGCTTTAAGCCTTAAGCAGGGGTATTCGCCAGACATCCTGACTTTTGGGAAAACAGTGCGAGTTCCAGCCTCAGTAACATCTGACTACAACCTCCCATCCCATTTGCTTGCCGATGAAGAGACTCAAGAGGGAATTCTGTTCCGAAACAAGCTGGCCAGACGTGAAGCTGCCCGCAAAGCTTTTCACATGACAGACAATGACATGTCATTGCGGAGAGCAATCCTGCGAAGAACGAGGCCAGATAGAGGCATGTACTACCCTGGAACTTGGGTCATGATGTGGCGCCAAACGCCAACAACACAGGGATGGTTTGGACCTGCACGAGTGATCCAACAAGAAGGTCAACACTGTGTCTGGTGTAACCACATGGGAAACCTCATCAAGATATCCCCAGAGCACATTCGTGAGATCAGTGAACAAGAGAAAGAACAAATCCCACAGAATCTACACCCAATTCAAGATCTTGAACTAGAACAAGAACCAACAAGGGGTGCGAGAAGACAAACCATCATAGAGACCATAGAAGTACCCGAAATCCCCAATAACAACCAGGAATCAGGACAGTCACAGGGAAGCATTGTTCGACCTCCATCATCCACTCCGGAAGAACAACCAGATCAAGAGCCAAGTGAGGAACCAGCCTCAGGGTCGCCTGATGATGCCTCTGAACAAGCTGCCGAGATAGATCCGGCAGACGTGCCAATACCGACGGACTCAGGTGATGAGCTTGTGTGTGACCACCTGCTGTGTGTTGAAGGTCACGACGAGATCTCAACAGACCCTGACGGTCATGTCGGTTGGAAGTATGAAGCCGCGATAACTGAACAGGACATCAAAGCATGGAAAGAATCAGAACATCCGTCCGAATACCTCCTAGTAGCAACAAGTGCCAAACGTGACCGAACTGAGGTAAAGCTTCATCAACTGTCTCAGGAAGAACAAGAGCTTTTTAGACAAGCGAAAACCAAGGAAATCCAGAATTGGCTTGATACAGGCACGGTCAGTCGCATCTTCAGACATCAGTTGAGCCCGCAGCAAATCTTGCGATGTCGATGGATTTGCATATGGAAACCACTCGATGAAGAAAACGCACAGACAACCGAAGTGAATCAAAAACCCAACCAAAAGACGCACAAACCGAAGGCTCGACTAGTAGTTCTTGGTTATCAAGACCCCCAATTGGAGACGATCCCGAGAGACAGCCCCACTTTGGGAAAACAATCCAAGATGCTTCTACTCCAATTAGTAAGTTCAATGGGATGGACACTGAGAAGCTTCGACATCCGTGCTGCCTTCTTGCAAGGCAAAACGCAAGAAGGTCGAACCCTAGCCATCGAGCCGGTTCCAGAACTCAAAACAGCATTGAACCTGAGAGAGAATCAAGTATGCAAACTCGAAAAATCAGCCTACGGGTTGATAGATGCCCCATTTTTGTGGTATAAGGAGTTGGACCGGACCTTGAGAGAACTGAACTTTGTCCCAGCACCTTTCGACCCATGTGCATACATCTTGTATCAGAAAGATCAACAGATTCCATCAGGGATCTTAGGTGTCCATGTCGATGATGGCCTGTGCGGTGGCGACCAGTTCTTTGACCAGCAAATTGCTAAGTTGGAAGCCAAGTTTCCATTCGGGAGCAAGAAGACAGGTCAATTTACATTTACTGGCGTAGATATCGACCAAAACCCAGATAAAAGCATCGTCATGTCCCAAGGAAAATACATCAGCAAGATTGAACCAATCCATATGAGTGCAAACAGGCGAACATGCCTGACGGAGCCAGTGACTTCCGAAGAGAAACACGGTCTTCGAGCATTGATAGGAAGCCTTCAATACGCAGCCATAAACACCAGACCTGATTTGTCAAGTAGGTTAAGCTACTTACAGAGTGAGATAAACAAGGCAACAGTACAAACTCTGCATGACGCAAATCGGGTCCTTCATGAAGCCAAACGGTACAAAGACACCCATATTCGAATCCAGCCAATTCCCATCAAAGACCTGAGGTTTTTGATGTTCTCAGATGCATCCTTTGCATCAGCCAAGAGTCCGGAAAGCCATACAGGAATGATAATCTTGGCAACTCATAAAGACATCATGGAAAACTATCAGTGCCCAGTCAGCCCTTTGTCTTGGGGGTGTAAGAAAATCCAGAAAGTGGTAACAAGCACCCTATCAGCTGAGACCACATCACTACAAACGAGCTTGGACCAATTATCATGGTTAAGATTATACTGGACCTGGCTTTTAGATCCCAAGACAAACTGGCGACAGCCCCAAAAGGTGTTCCAAAATATCCCACCACCAGTGTCTTCAACCACACACTTAGCACAAATGCTCCCGAAGGCAGTGGCAGTCACGGACTGTAAATCCCTCTATGATCTTGTGACTCGAACCGCCCAACCGAACTGTCAGGAGTTTAGGACACAATTGCAGGCCAGGGCGATCAAAGATCTTCTCTCAGAGGGGGTAACCTTGAGGTGGGTACACACAGGGCCTCACCTTGCAGACTCACTAACCAAGGTAATGCAAAACCACTTCTTGAGATACACCTTGCAACAGGGTCGTTATCAACTTAATGACGAGCTGCAAGTTTTGAAACAAAGAGCAGATCATCGAACGAGAGTGCAGTGGCTGTCATCTGGATGCCCAGCCGACATGAAGCCCACAAAAAGTCTTGAAGATTTTTTGGGAGTGTGAATTTTCAGTTGTGAACCATTCAGCATGTCGAGAGCTCAGCCATCGCACTTCCCTTTCCGAAGCCTTTTCGGGCACGAGTCCGTTGGGTGGTGAGGGTCAGGGCCCTACGAGAGGCCGTTGAGCCATAGCGTGAGGACACGCTCGGTTGCTTGGCGAGGACGCCAATTTCGTTCAGGCAGTGGCGGAGGAAAAGGCCGCTTCTGAGGTGCTGTGGGCACCAGCTGAAGGTCGAAGGGCTACCAGTGTGGGCAATCCACAATGTACATATATATATATATAATATGTACATATGTATGTATGTATGTATATATATATATATGTATGTATATATGTATGTATTTATGTAATGTAATGTAATGTAATGCAATGTAATGTAATGTAATGTAATGTATGTAGGAATGGAATGGAATGGAATGGAATGGAATGGAATGGAATGGAATGTATGTATGTATGCATGCATGTATGTATGAGGTGACATATATATATATATTGACATATCCTGTATGCGGTGACCAGATGAGAGAACCACTTCTATCCGGTCTCCCGCCATTTCTCGTTCTGCGCTTCGGCTCCAAGGCGGAACGAGCGAGACGTCCCGAGCCCTTGGGCTACAGTGTGGGGGGCGCCAGGAAACGTCGGGACGAACACCCGGAAGACGGAGTTCTTAGAAGACCAGGGACGAAATGGACAACGATTAAGGTGACCAGTCTTATTTAAGACGTTGACTCATTCGTATATGCATTAGGAGGGTTTTTGTTCAACTCTCAAATACTCGTGGAATCTTCGAATGTGAGATCTGACATAAAAGATTGCAGTATATTGCAGTCCAACCTGCACCTGTCTACCGGATGGGTTTCACACTCAAACCATGGTCCGATTGCCAAACATTCACCAAATGAGGAGGAGGAAGAAGAGGGAGGAGGAGGAGGAGGAGAAGGAGGTAGTGTAAGCAATTGTCATATGACGTGATGCAACATGCGCATGACATGACTACTAGCCCAGTGTGGACCCGCGAACAAAAACAATGAGACTTTGTCTCATCACATGTTGAGATATTTGGAGTTTGTTTGATTCAAAACTCATACCAAATGGCCTTTCCCTAAGCTGACACACCGAAACTCGCAGGATCACCACTTGGAACTCCTCTCTTTGGTGGTTGGGGCAGCCGGAACCAGTGGCATCTCCATCTGATCCGTGCATCCTTGCCGCAGGTTGACGCCCAACAGTGGTTGGCTCCTCTACCGAGACCAGGATGGGCCGAGCTCCCCGGTGTGGAACGGGTGACGCCACGCGAGCCATGCGTCGGCTCGCACAGCAGTCGCATGGGCGCACGTTGACCAGTCGGTGACCCATGGGTTCCCCTCCCTGCAACCAACATGGACAGTGGACCACGTACCTGTTTTAAGAGTTTGCTTTAGTATGTGTTTTGTTGGTTTTGGTGTGGGTGAGTAGGGTGCGAAGTGCTGTTGGCCTTTCAACGGAGAAACGAAGCCGCAGAAAACTTTCCAGCCGTCTTGAGGGCAGCCACAACAAAGACACTAATTAACAGTGGATATCCATGGCTATCCAGGAGAATGCCACATGGTTCTAGACGAAGCAGTGTTTCCAACTTTGCAGATGTCATTATTTTCTCACTTCAAAGGCGGAAAAGAAACGAAAAGAAAAGACATTGCTTCACCTATCCCATAACATCTCATTGCCCCATGTTTTGAAGACAATTGCATACTCCTTGGTCACTTGGTTGTTCCTCATGGCTGTGCATTTGTAGATGTTTGTAGTGATATGTGTTCAACTTTATTTCTGCATTGCCTCCACTAATTAACCTTCAACCGTTGCTATTGTGGTGGTTCAAAACTATCACCGACATCGTTGGTTTGATCCTACTTTGGATAGGAACTGCTAGGCCATTAGCAGGGTATCGGTATGCATTTCAATGTTGATGTTCTGCAATGTTGTTTCAAAACGCCTGGCATCCATAATACAGGAACATATAGTAGCCATGCTTGCATATTGTTTTGTTGACAATAGTATACCAGTATATATATATATATGCTTTATGATATGTTATGCATTGTTATGCTCTAAGCTGTTTGGGGTTCCTGTTTCTCTTTGGCCCAGACTCTGATTTGTCCGTACCATCACCACCCTCGCACCCTCCTTCCCAAGAGTGACCACCAGGAGATGAATGGCGGACTGAAGTGGCAGGAGGCGGACCCCCGAGCGACTGACGGAAGTCGTCATCACTTGTGGTCATCGAAATATCGTCAATATGAAGCGTATACGAAGTGCATACGAGGATCAATGGAGGATCAAAGGAGGATCCCCCTTATGAAGCATTATGGTGCTGCTTTCTGGAGGCTTTGATCTTCAATCCTCATGGTCTTTGATTCATGGATCGACCGGCTTGTGGCCAGTGCCAGAGGCTGCAGGTGTCGTTGGACCTGCAGGGCTCCACATATGGTAGGGAGGCCGTAGGGGCCACCAGATGCCCAGGTGAGGGGTAAAGATGTCTTCGGTGTATGGTTTCATTTGGAATTGGTATCATTATAGATTGGTGCTTTTTTGTTCTTAATTGTGTCTACCATATGTTCAGTGTATGGTGTCGCTCGAATTTGTGAAGCAAAAGGGTGATCAAGGTTCATGATGTCATACCTTTTGAAAGGTACCCCCAAGTCCTCATCACCATGGTGATTCATCCGTCCATGACCTCATCCCTTCCCTCTTCCTCCCTCCAACCAGTTGTTCTGCCAGACCACCCCCTGCCAACGCGAACCTGTCGCGTTGACCGAGGTGCTCCGAGAAGGTCTGCACTCGGCCCAGCCAGCCTTGCTGCGGGAAGCAGAACAGGTGCTCCAGGAGGTGGATCGAAGACCCAAGCGATGCCGGTCGCGACGGGAGCGACCGTGTTTTTTTGTTTTTGTTTGGTATTTGGACCTTTTTGAAGGCTACTGTCACTTGAACCAACAGAGTTTTAGTTTTTTCCACTTCAATTCAATGTTTTTTTCTTTGGTGGTGTTGGCACATGTTGGGAAAACCCAAACCATGCCTCCAGTAGTGACCAACGACTCTCGCCGTCCAGTCCTTGTCAAATGGTGATTGCCAGGGAACATGAAAAATCAGGAAGAAGATCGACCCAGAAGTCAAGTTACTGTATGGCTCACTCCGGTCTTTTGGAAGATTGGGAGGCGCTGTGATATGGCTATGGCCCAAGATGTTTCTCAATGTTTGTCCATCTACCAAAGGCTTTACGGCCAGCCATGAAGGGAGCCATATTGTCTTGGGTTTTGTATAAAGCCAACGAGCAGAAGCTCAGAAGAAGCTCTTTGCATACCGCCTTTCAGGGTCAGATGTACATACCCAGCAGGTGGACTGAGGATGCCAGCGACGCCTTGAGAGAGTCAACTTGGATTGAGGAAAACATCCATAGGTTCATCAAGATACTTTGGCTTCTTCTTTGGGACAGAGTTGAGTGGAGAATACTTCTTGGATTGAGTGGGTTCTGGACAACCTTGACATGAAGACTGTCCTTCACTCTACAAGTGGTGTACTGTATACTGCCCAAAGATAGATCCATAGATGCAATATCATCGCTCGGTTGGCCAACAAGCGAATGGGTTTACCTATAATACATATGTATAATATGTTCTAATATATATATAATATACATAATATTATATATATGTATATGTGTATATATATGTATTGTTCTTTTGCTCAGACCTCAAAGAATGTCCCTGTTTAAGTTGTATTCATTGAAGACAGACATCTCATGCAGATATAAGACAAATGACTTGTTAACAGCGGACCCGGCCTGCCAGGAGCACGAGACTCTGACGGCCTTGGAGATTTTGGATTGAAGCCAAAATAGCCGGAACACTGTCCAATGTCAGTCATTGTTTTGCTTGACGTTTAGGAGATGATCTTCATGTTGGATTTCATGATACTGCTGAGAGACGCGTTCGGATGCGTTTCTTGGAAACACCGCGTCTCTCAGTGTCGGGAAGCCGCGATGTCCAACATCTTTGAGTGGACGACTTCTTGGCTGCTCCAAGGGACGGCAAGGGTGATCCAACGGATGAGAAGGGAACACCTGGTCACCTGGATATCCTATGTATATATATAACATTATCTATATATCCCTAGGGCTCAAACCACCTTCTGAGGACATGGTTGGAGCCCTAGGGTTATGTATATATATATCCCAGAAGCTTAACACAAGTAGAAGGTTTGAGATCGACGATCGGGGCCCTTTGGATCGAGCTTCTTCTCTTGAAAGAAGCGCTGCTTCTTTCAGAGAAGTAGAAGTGATATGTGCGCTTTAGTATGTAGATTTGCACTTGTGTGTGTGTGTGTGTGAACTAGTAACGCTTGTTTGGATTTGATTCATGACCTTGGATTTATGCGTGCTAGCTGCTACCTTGATGTTGTGCGGAAGTTAGAATAAACTATCAGGCAAATTCAGGTTTCATGATACCCACCAAAAACAAACAACATAGAAGCAGCTGGAACTGGCTAGAGCAGTTCTGAAGAAAATCGATTGTTTGATCACCTTCGGGCAGTTTGTTTGTTTTGCAAAAGGTAGCTGAAGGCGAGTTTTCTGAACGCCTGCCTTGGCAATTTGAATTAACAAGCCTGCAGGTCTCTACAAACATCCACAAACCTCACTTTGGTGGGGCCTAGGTCTAGGTTGTTGTCCCCCCGCCCCCGGAAGAAGGACCGATGTTGCCTTCTGCGATGCATGTGGTGAACAAAATGTTCAGGCTTGTTGAAGGGTTCCATCCAACGCCCACGTGTTTCTTCTTCAATAGCTTTTGTGAACCATCGACCATGGAAAACAGCCAAAGAAGTGTCCTTTCGCCAAGTAGTTTTCAAGCGGATGTGGAGGCCCTGGGGCAATTGGAATGTGCCACTTGCAAGTGGCCCGATGTTACCTGAGGCCGTGACATGCCCGAAGTATATGTCGATGTGTGGGAATACCAACGGATCCTTCAAAGATTTTAAAGGGGTTTTGAGTGCATTCCATTTATCCCATGTGCCAAATCTCCTGGGCGCTTAAAACGAGTGCTCAGTCCATCCCAGCGAATTCATACCGGGTAGCGCTGCACGCTGCCGCACCGCTGTGCACAGCTGTCGGTTGAGGGCTGCCAGAGACATGAATTGACTGTGCATGGTGGATGTAAGATGTAAGGTGCGGTGGGAGATGACAGTCGCATTTGGTTGGAAGGAACCCGGTTGGAAGGTAATTGCCTGATGTACCTAGGGTTGGAAGCCATTGGAAGCTACTGCGATGATAACTCTTGTCTTTTAAGTTGTCAACTTGTTGTCAACCTCCTTTTGAACATGTTCATGATTCTACCAACCAACCAAGTTGCAAATTCCACAGAGTCCCCAGCCATGACCTGAAGACAGTGTCACCTTCCAAACCTGAAGCTTGCAGTCATTTGCAGCCCGAAGGCGTCCAACGAGAGGTATAAGCTTCCGTTTGATGCGAATCAAAGAGACGCAAAAAAGCTCCCCCGAAGCTCAAGTCCTGTGTTTCTTTTTGACTCAGCCCAATCGAAAAGACCTGAAGGTGGGGATTGTTTCATCAAGTTTGACCAAATTGCTCATGTGGCGATCCTGACCATATGCTGGAAGTGGAGAAGCTATCAACTCAGTCTGGAGTTTATGACCTTGTCGCAGCAGCCATTCGCAAGCCGCAAGCATGTGTCGCAGCACTGCGGTTTCACGAATCAAGACGATTCGTAGGTTGATCCAATGGAGAAATGTTGCTGCAGGTCAGGCTGGACTGGAAGTCTGTCAGAGATGCTGGCTGCTGGCTTTGTTAATTAGATATTATATGATTATATGATATGAGTCCCTTACTTCCCTTAGCATGCACAAGACTGACAAGACTGAACAAATTATTTAATCAACGCATATGTTTTATCATATGTTGTATATAATACATATATATATAATACATATACATATTTTATATATACACACATTAATATATATATATGTACATGCATATTTGGAATAACGTGCTGTTGGCAAGCAAAGTGGAACTGAAGCCTGCGATCGGACTTGGCTATCTTTTGGCTCGAGCTGTAACTATGCAAACATGTTTTCAGTGAACATGTTCACTCTTGAAGTGCATCAACAAAATGGCTCCAGACCAAGTCAATTTTCTGCAACTTGCATCTACTGTGGGTTGAGTTGGTAGAGCCACGAACCAGGAGAGCTGTTGACAAGCGAAGCCCAGAGTGCTTTTCACCACCAGCTTGTGCGCCAGGAACCATCGTGTGATGTGAGGTTTGCCAGGAACCATCTGGTCAGGGAGTCAGGCACTTAATTGGTTGAGGTCACGAACCTGAAGGCAGACACGTAGAACCTGAAAATGGAATGCCTGGAGAACTCTGGATGACATGTTTCCCCAAATTGGTGGTTTTGAGGTTCCAAACGTTTTCGTGGGTATCGTGTAATCAGAAGCTGAGGATCATGCTTGGGGAAGGCGTGTCCTTGTCCGAGAAGAGCCACGGTTCTCGACCTTTCTCACTGTCGACCAGTGTGATGTTTGCATATGTGTACCCATTAGTCATCTTCACCCAGATCATCCATGTATGGAATATATGCTTACATGGATGCCCCTGAAACCATCACCACCCCAATGTAGATACTGTTGCTATGGCATAGATGGACGATCTGGGGGTGGTAAGATGTGATCAGATATGCCCATTTATCATTCACAAACGTCCACCCCGAAGATGGCAAGGAATGCGATCGGATATGCCTCTCATCCACCAAATACATGACTAGTGAGACCTTCTGGGGAACGAGGGAATGGATGGGAATGGATCCAAAGGAATCTCATTCCCATTCATGCCCTCCTTCCCTCTCAAGTCGAGTCTGCTTTCAGCTTTCTGAAATCGTACCCAGACACTCCATGGGACTGGTTTCACCAGCGGCCGAGATGCGGCGCCGGTCCGGTCCGCCCCGAGGGAATGCAGTCAGCCCCACGAGCCGGTCAGGCCGGGTTTCCGCACAGAGACGGGTGACGGCACGCCGCCGTGGATAAAGAGAAACCCAACAACTTTCGGGTCTTGGTGTTGCCATGTGCTAGTTTGATTTGGCTTTGTAGTCCTTTTCTGACAACAGTATAATATATATACATACTACTAGGAACAAAAGGCATCGCTACTAGTAACAAGAAGCTACTATATATAACTACTAGTTGCTCCTGGTCATCGCTACTAACTAGTAACAAAAGGCATCGCTACTGGAAGCAAAGACGCGGTAATGTCATGAATGGTCTTTCAGGGCCATGTTGATCGCTCCACGATCCGATCGGCTCCGGTCACCCGACCTGGAACAAAGCGCTCCACCCCGTTTGGTCACCTGCGCGACCGGTAAAGTGTCCAGATCTGTGGACTTGAAGCGGACTTGGAATGGCACCGGGCCTGGCATGTACACAAAATACACCCGTATATACCTAGTGAAATAGTATATATATACTTAAATATATAGCATATAATATGACTTCTATGTGATGACTAAGAAGTGACTGATATGTATTTATGCAACTTTAAGATGACTGTTATACTTAAATATGACACTGTTTCGGTGACCCTCTGGGTGAGCTGAGTGTTCTTCACGAACTCCGGGTATCTGTGAAATAGTGTACAAATGTGTGCTCAAACGAACCGGTTGCTATAGAAATTAGAAAGCCATCTTGTGCAGTGAGCAATCAAGAAAGGCTTCAGCTAGCTGCGAGTTCTCCTTGCTTATTAGCAAACATGTGTTTGGTTTGGCTTTCATTTGGATCTCGAAGTTCATTTGGAGGACCATCCTGTCGAAGTGACGGAAGTCGAGACTTCGTTCTAAGTTCTGGCCCAAAATGTCAGATTCAAGTGATGACAGCCACAAGTATCACATAGCACATGATGGGCTTGCCATGTTGGTAGGTTTTCAATATCTTTCAGCGTGGAAGTGACAAACTTATAGCACATATAGAAACATCTCACCAAATCAGCCTGCTTGAGACAATTCTTTGCTAAGCCTTTTCAGAATAAAACAAGTCCTCACCCACACGATTCCCTTTGTTCTTAGTCATCCGGAGAACTGAGTAGTACAGTATGTTGCGCATGAATAGCCTTCATGTTCACGAAGAAATGAGGAAGTTCCGAAGGTGGTGTTTCAAGGTGGTGTGTTTGTTAAACCTCTGACTCCGCCAAGTCCTTTGTTTCTCCCATGCTTTCCCCTTCATTTTCGACCCCTCCCCCTGCGCTCTTTCGTCCGAAAGCGCAAGCGCTCTGTGCGGGCCGGCACGCCTCTTCTCATGTTGCGAGCCGTGAGCGATGATTCCGCGCCCACCAGGCCAGGGCGGATTTGTTGGGAGACGGAGAACGTCCAGAGCGGTTCTCCAACGAATAAAGAAACACACGCAGAGTCCTCGGTGGTGTTCAGCTCTAAAAAGACCCTGAAGAGTTCAACTGGGTGTTTTTGGGGAGTTCTGGTACTTAACAAGAAGCTACGAACGTAACAAAGGGCATCGCTACTAGCAAGAAGCTACGTGAACGCAGCTCCTGGCATTTCTACAAGTAACAAGAAGCTACTAGTATTTGTAGCTGTAGTTGTAGTTGTAGTTCTACAGTATATATAACACCTTGAAATAACTGTCCAAAGTTTCGGAGGCGACGAGGCGAAAGAATTTGGATTCGAAGCGGATTGAAGTCTGGTAAAACCTTGGGGGCTGGCTTGGTCTCCCAAAGGTTTGGACACTCCCAACTCTTTGAGGCATTAAGAAAGGATCTGAAAGGATCGGATAGTCATGTATGTATCATGATTGAACGGATTGCGAGAGAGAGAGAGAGAGATCTGCTTTTCATGTTAGCCGTGCCATGGATTTCCATTGGCTTTCCTCGGCTCTGCTGCCAGCACAGTCCTTTGTCTCATAAGTATCCTGATGAACGCTCCAGTATACATACATGCTTGAAAACGTCAATGAACACCGCGTTGACCAGACTGGGGTTTCAGAGAAGTCAAAGACTTTAGCATCCCAAGTAAACTGACATGAA